GTTTGCCTGCTTCCAAAGCCTGAGGACGTCCCTCTGTGTGGGTGCTGCAGGCCTCTGCTCTATACTACTGTGCTTCCCGGCTTACATAAAGTATCTGTTCAAACTCATTAGATAGGTAGATAATACTTACTTTGCCAATAGATACCGGTATTATATATGTATATGTAAGTATATAGTTATTATATACCTATAATATACATTATATTTTATATACATTTTATATACATTATTTTTTAAAGAAATAAAAAAATCCCACAGCCTCTCAAGCATCCTATATGCCAAACAATGACATATCATAGACCAGTTATGTAAAAATGTGGCACCAAGTTCAATTTCCTTCTGTGTAGACCTTGAAATAAATCTTCTGCTATTCTTTTGCACAATTGTAATTTTGAAATTTATTAGTAAAGAGGATGATATAATTCTGCACCACCTTAAAAAAAACAAAAACAAAAAACCAATCCAGTATGTAATATTTGCCTATGGCAACTTCTCTGTGTAATCTGCCTGAGCATATTCTGAGTAAGCACCACCATAGCACATGCCAATAAAATGATAGGGAATAATACTAATAATGTATGTTTGCTGCGTGTTTTTTTTTTTTTTTTTATGTGCAAGTCTCCACGCTAGACAGTTTCTCTCATCTAATAATCAACAGTCCGGTGAGATGGGTAATATTATTGTTCTCATTTGTAGGTGAGTGAGCTAAGGTTTAGAGTTTTTAAGTAACTTTGTCCAAACATTAGCTGATAAATATGGCGCCAGAATTTAAACCCATAGTATCTGGCTTCTAGGCTTTCCCTCTTCACCACAGATCAATTTCTTGACATAGGACCTGAGTATCCACATTATTTATATTTATATTATTGCTCCCCAGCAGCAGCCAGGGTTGAAAGACACTACTCTTTAACATACCACATTGTGGGGCGCCTGCGTGGCTCAGTGTTAAGTGTCTGCCTTAGGCTCAGGCCGTGATCCCAGAGTCCTGGGATCAAGCCACGCATCAGGCTCCCTGCTCCGCCAGAAGCCTGCTTCTCCCTCTCCCACTCCCCCTGCTTGTGTTCCCTCTCTTGCTGTGTCTCTTTCTGTCAAATAAATAAATAAAATCTTAAAAAAAAAAATACCACATTGTGAAAACATTGACCAATAAACAAATCTTAGAGTTTATCCTCTATCTCAGTTATTATTTATCTGACATATATTTATGAAGAGGAAGGTTTGCCATTGATAAACCATTATGATGGCTCCACTTTAAGCATCTAAGTCACTTAAGTTGATAAATATGCTGAGAACTTTCAATTTGAATGAGTCAAGGTTTTCTCTCTCTTGGGCAAAATCAAAGACAGAAACAAATTAGATGTTGATGTTGATATGACTTTACAGGAGAACCAGCCTCAACCAAGTTAAAATGTTGGAGCAGTATAAACACTAGGAGCTTAAATACTTGGGAAAGGGGTTTTAGGAGGAGGAAGGATATGGAAAAGAAGGTCAGGACCTGTCAAAGATAAATTTATTTTCTTTGAATACTTTTTATTGCTGGCCATGTACTCAATAACCTGTATTAAAACACTTTGGAAAATGCATATATACCTTAACTTAAAAAAAATACTTCAATCTGATTCTTACATCATCTAGAATATTTGAGTGCAGCATTCAAAATATCTCTCTGGAGAGTTGTTTTGTTAGTACATTTTATAGTCTGTTAAATTTTAAAAACAAATCATTCTTCATATATCTACACATTGAAGTTAAAGTTCAAGCTCTTGTTGACAATGTACGACTAAACAGAAACTGTGACTCACCAGAATCTATGACGGATTAGAGTTTATATGGTTTGTCTTACGTTTTTGGCAAGTATTTATGACTCTCCCAAGACTGGATTATTGAGTTCAAGAACCAAGTTAAAAATGGGGATGTACCTTCTAGTTTACTGATCTCTTAAGATGGCTTTATAATTATTATTAATAAATCAGTTCCAACAAACTTCTTCGCTAATGCATCTATTTTTATCTCTTCCTGAGTGGTGTTTTACACAAATTCGTCTCTTTGAGAGGCAGCGAGTGGAAAATGAGACTATTTTGATTGGAAATCGTCTGGATTTGGGGAAAAAATGTCATGTCATTGCAATCACTTTCTTGGCATTTACCATAATACAGTGTATCAAGTTAAGGTACTTTCCATGGATGCAGCTAAAAATTATTCTCAAAGAGAATTTATTAGAAAACTATCTGAGATTCATGGAATACCTGAGAGACTGAAGAGCTTTAGTTTGGAAATGGACAGACTGCGAGGCAGCTCTGGAGTCTGGTAAGCAAGAACCCCAATAACACCAAGAGCAGTCTGGCCAAGATCTTACCACGTGGATGGAATGGAATTCCACACATGTCTTCAACGTTTTCTGCTAATGATTCTGCTAAAGATCACTGTTTTTCCCCTCTGCTAAAGGTTCAAATTCCAAAGAAAGACTTTCTGGAAATGTTAGTTGGCTTACCCCCTGTCTATTTAGTAAAGGGGAAAGGCAGGGGTCTATCTTCTCACTACAGTTCCAACAGGCTATGTCCGGTCAAAGTGGGAAATTTCTCAAAGGCTAATTGGATGCCAGTTGGGAAATGGACTCTGGACAACCAAAAGGCAAAAATACTTTCTGCATGAGGGAATGGAAGCTAGAATGATGCTGGGAATATAGAAAGACAAAGTGAGCCTGTCTTCTAGTTGTGCTAAGAGAATGGGTTATAGGTTATCTCTTATTATGAGTCTTAAAAACAGAGGCTACCAAGAAATATAGGCTATGGGGCTGTAGCACTGAGTAAAAAAAAAAAAAAGGTAGAATTATCTGAGTCATGAACTTGTACCAAGAAAAATGTAGGATCAATAGTAAAACCTGAATAGTAATTTAAAATAGATGTAAGACAAGGATGACCCTTATCACCACTGTCAATATTGCTCTAGAAATTCTGACTAATTAAAGTACAGCAAAGAATACAAATAAGAATCATAATTATTGGAAAGGAGATAAAACTTAGCATTGTTTGAGGATAACATGACTACATAGAATGAAAGTCCAAATAAATCAACTAAAAAGCTAAAATAAATTTTACTGTACACCAGCAATAATGGTTACCTAGAAAATATAGTGGTTTAAAAAAGATTTACTCACAATGGGCAAAACACACATACACAAAAGGACAGAATGGGAATAATTTTGAGAGGAACATATGGGAGCAAATGAGGAACACCACAGAAACTTGCTATAAGGTACAGAAAGCTGTCTAAATATTTTTGTTTCCTTTTTTTAAAAAAATATTTTGTTTATTTATTTGATAGAATGAACAAACAAGAGAGCATGAACAGGGAGGAGGAACAGGGCACAAACAGAGGGCTGAGCAGGGAGCCCAATGTGGGGCTTGATCCCTGGACTCTGAGATCATGACCTGAGCCAAAGTCAAATACTAACCTACTGGGCCACCCAGGTGCCCCCTTTTGTTCACTTTTTAAAATATGACGAAGTGATCTCACAGATGAAAAAAGTCTAGGTAGTTTTTGACACTGGGAGTAATTAGCAACAATTTTGTCTTACTTTATATTAAATGAAAAGATAAATGTCCCAGAACAAAAATCTGGTCAAATCGATGAAACATAATACATAGTCCTGAAACAGACCATGATCGATGGAAGGATTTAACATCCTCAGAGATCATCAGGTCTGTGAACAGAAACTTGGATGCAAGAAGGTGCAATGTAATTTCATTTAAAATTAGCTGCTTTACCCCAACCTACTCATGAGCATAAGTTGCTGTTATTAAATAAATAAACCCAAATCGCTAGGGCTACTCAACATGCAACAGACTGCATGAAGTCTGTAGGAGAAACAGTTCAATTGGAAATCAATGCTTATCATTTAGAATGTTTGCCTGCTTCCTCTTCTGGAGTCTTATTTGAAACCACCATTTGTTCCTCTTTTTCTTTTAGTATATGCCATCTTAATAGGCATAGCATGTCTATTCTGATAATACCTTGTGTTAATCCATCATGTTTAGCTGCACTGATGGATGGCTGCTTCTCTTTCGGTGTAGCCTGGAGCCCAAGAAGGGAATTTGTTTTACTTCATAGAGCTTGTATTTTGAGTCCTGCCATACCAGGCACAACCTTGAAATATGGTAAAATCCTTCCAGACACTTTCATAACCTTCACTAGCAAGTAACAGAAATTTGGTTTAATTTCCATCATTAAAAAAAAAAAGAAATTGAAATCTAAGTGGTCAATAACAGGGAAATGGTTAAAAAAAATCTTGGTGGGCATCTGGGTGGCTCAGTTAAGTATCTGACTCTTGATCTCAGTTCTGGTCTCGATCTCAGGGCCATGAGTTCGAGCCCCGTGTTTGGAAAAAAAAAATCTTTGTAGATCCATACAATGTAACATTATACAGTCACCAAAATACTATGTTTTTAAGAATTTTAAATGATATAGTTCTTTTAGGAGGTAAGCTATGAGTGATATCTTTATTTTCATTTCATTTCTGTATGATTTTTTATTTTTATTTCTTTATTTTCTGATTTTTTGCAACTTTTCTGAGAATCAAGAACACCTATTATAAGAAGAAGAAGATTAAGTTATTTAAAAATTGGAATATATATTAATAAGGATTCATGGTAAATAGCAAGTCATGTATAAACAATTATTTAATAATATTTAATGTGTACTTTCTTTGATTTTACAAAAAGGCATTTATAGTCAAGCAAATGAATGACAAAACCATTCTAATTTGCATTCCCAAATGCATTCCCTAAATAACTGGAGTAAGGTACTGCTGGCAATTTCATGGCAGTTCATGTAAGGCCTAGAAAATTTCTTTAATGAAGAGCCTTCAATTCTGGACTTGCAAAGCTTCTGTGGATAGTAAAAATGGCAAAGATCACATCTACTACGTCTCAATAAGAAGCAAAATATAAGAATCTCTCTATACATTCTTTGGCTCAAATAATTGATAAAAGACCTTGCAATTGGTGCATGTAGTTGATTATGTTGTGATCATAAATATGATCACCACCTGTTTTGCAAAACAGTAAGCAGTAAATATAATAATTCTATGGACGCGATTCTAAAAATAGTTTATACCTACACGAATCTTTTTGGAAAATTTTACCAAATAGAATCATCTTCAGTGCTTTTCTGAACCAGGGATAGAAAAACGCATAAACCAGTGGATTGAAAGTAGAGTTTAAGTAGCCAAACCAAATCAATGCATCATTCAAGGTGGATGGAATACTATAGTCCAGGAAAGGATCCATGACCATGCAGACAAAGAAAGGACACCAGCATATTAGGAAAACTCCCATCACAATCCCTAAAGTCTTTGCAGCTTTCCTTTCTTTGCTTTGTGACATTCTGTTTTTTTCTTCCAATCCAGTTTGAAGCTTCTGATTTGCATTGTGAATTGATCTTGCCTGTCCTTGAGCAATGAAATATATTCTGGAATAGACACACAACATAATAGATCCTGGTATATAGAAAGAAGTCATAAAGGCCAGTACCCCAGATGTTTTGCTAAAGAAGACAGAGCAGCCCCCTAGGCAGTGAATGTATTTGTAATACATCTCTTCAGCTCCTTTGAAGTTTAGCTCCAGAAAAATCATTCCAAATGCAAAAAGAGCAGGGATGCTCCAACTAATGAAGATCATCACAAAGATAACCAAGATACTGATCCTGGCTTTGTATCTCAATGGATCACACACAGCATAGTAGCGGTCAATGGAAATGAAGGACAAGTGGAAAATGGATACTGAGCTCAGCATAATGTCAGTGCTGGTGTGAATTTTACAGAAGACTTCTCCAAAGTACCAGCCATGCTCAACAGATCTGACCATGCTATAAGGCATGACCAAGCACCCCAGCAGAAAGTCCGCGGTGGCCATGGAATGAATGAGCCAATTAGTTGGGGTATGAAGTTGCTTGAAGTGTGATATGGAAATAATGACTATCAGATTGCCAATGAGTGTGGTCAGAATTATGAGCACCATTAAACTATACAAGGAAGCACGAACATCATTTGACCTGCTGCTTTTCACACAGGAAATATTAATTATATTGTGGCAAAAAGACATCCTTCCTGAAGGCTGTCCACCAGTTTATTTCTTCCTTTGTGTGTTGAGGAATCTTTCTTCGAAATCCATAATCAGGTTAGGGTTCCTTGTTTTACTTCCATATACCTATTCCAGAAACCCGGGAGGAAAAAAAAAAGAGAGAGAGAGAGAGAGAGAGAATCATTGGCAATTTGATTCCTTTCACTTCTAACACACTATTACTCCTTGCTAAAAAATAGTTATTTTAGAAAGAGCTTTTATTCTTAAGTTTAGTTCCATAGGTCAGTTCAATAACTTTTTTTTAACATCTCCTCGATGCTGAGTACTATGCTAGAAATGAAAAGTTGAATTATTAGGTTGAAATATATGAAACTGCCACTTTTTCCGGTCAGAAAAGGCGAAATGATGAATTTTTCATATGCTTCAATTTATGGAAATAGTCTTTGCTCAAAGAAAAGTCCTGTGGGAAAAGTTTGTATTCTAAATGGTAGATATAAATTGCCAGAAATTTTAGAATTAAAATATGTTCGAGAGAAAAAAGTGAAATATTTTAAATGTGCCTCTTGTTCACAGTAATACCCACTAGTGCCTGCTTTTGCCCTTGATAACATATTTCTTATTTTATAATTCATTGTAATGGAAAGAAGCTTACATGCCTTTACTTCCAGTTTGCAAAGCACTTATACATACATTCCAAGCATTACTTCATTTAACATTTTTGCATCTACGATATAAACATTATTCCTTATAAGGAAGACATGACATGTTTTGTTAGTATAATTATACTTGCAAGAAATTGAGTCTCCGTTCATGAAACCATTAAAGCTGGAATATGACCTGAGGTCTCAATTACTAGTACAGTTTCTTTTTTTTTTTTTTAAAGATTTTATTTATTTATTCATGAGAGACGGAGAGAGAGAGGGAGAGAGAGAGAGAAGCAGAGGGAGAAGCAGGCTCCCAAGGAGCAGGGAGCCCGATGCGGGACTCGATCCCAGGACCCTGGGATCATGACCTGAGCCGAAGGCAGACGCTTAACCATCTGAGCCACCCAGGCGCCCCACAGTTTCTTTTTCACTAATCCACATTTTCTTTCCACGGCAGAAAGGATCAATTCAGATAAATTACTTTCAAGAACATTAAACTTTGAACTTTCATGTAAGAACATAGGATGTCTTGAAAAGTGGTACCTTTTAGTGAAGTGTGATATTGTTGTCCAAATTATTAAGGATTTTAAATATACAGACCAAAGTCTGTGGTAAGACATGATGTGGCACTGGGAAAAAATGGCTGATGTGAGAACCCAGGGAAGCTGAGCTTCAGTGTGGGCTGTGGGCATGGCACTGGAGCTCTTTTCTTGTTTGTTTTTCTTAAAGCTCTGAAACGCATTAAAATTTTTTTTTCTTTCAATTCCAATTTTAAAACAAAAGTAAAATCTTGTTAAAACAGAAATGGCTGGGGCGCCTGGGTGGCTCAGTCGTTGAGCGTCTGCCTTCGGCTCAGGTCATGGTCCCAGGGTCCTGGGATCGAGCCCTGCATCAGGCTCCCTGCTCATCAGGGAGCCTGCTTCTCCCTCTCCCACTCCCCCTGCTTGTGTTCCCTCTCTCACTGTGTCTCTGTCAAATAAATAAACTCTTTAAAAAAAACAAACAAAAAAAGAAATGGTACCTTCTTCCTCCTTATGTCCATTAAAAATCCCAAAGCCCCATGAGAGCTGGTATAAAAATATCCCCTTTGGGGGTACCTGGGTGACACAGTCAGTTAAGCCTGAGCCTCTTGATTTAGGCTCAGGTCAGGATCTCAGGATCATGAGTTTGAGACCCTCTTCCCCGCCCCAAGACTGCTTTTCTCCTTCTCCCTCCTCCTCTGTCCCTCCCCCTACTGGAGTGTACATGCTCTCTCTCTCTCGATTTCTCTCTCTAAAAATAAATAAATAAACCTTTTAAAAAATATCCCCTTTGTTTCTATATGATTCTGAATTTTCAACTAAATTCTAGAATTTTCAATATATTTTGAAATATATATATGTGGTATGTATAAATATATATGTATGTATATATATGAAGAGAGGGAGAGAGGGAATTTGCAGGAATGTGAATTTCTGGCAGTCAATGAACAACCTACACAATGTTGAAATGCTAGAAAATAGCAACAAGTTTTAGAATATTCCAGGAGTCTGCCTTCCTTTTCATTTCCTCCCATTCCCTCTTGGCTGACAGTTTAGATCAAGACTACATAGAAATCTAAATGTATCCATAACTGGAAGTGCAGGAATAAAAATAAATAAAATATTTAGGTACTAAAATGCATATTTTAATAAATTTAAAACACCTGTCCTCCAATCCCTTCAAATATGTAGTACTCTTCCATAAAAACAATAAATTCCTCAGAAAGAATTATTTTTAAATCCACGTCTTCCGATGATCCCCTTATATTTCCCCTTTATGGGAAAGGAAAACAAAACAAAACCTCTTTGAAAGAGTCATTTACACTCCTCTTCTTTCTTCTTCTACTAACCTTTTGAATAAACTCTAATAAGACTTTTATTGTAAACACACCACCAAAAAAAATTTTTTTTCAGCTAAGACAGCAGAAGAGATGATTTATTGTAACGTGTTATATTCAGCCACAAATGAAAACAGAATTAGTCCAGAAAGTCACAGGTCCAGGGCAAAGGACCAAAAGGGACTATTTTGGTATGTGCAAGGTGGGTTTCTCAAAGGTGGTCATTGTGATCAGATGGTGAAGGATGTTCTGGACCCACTGAATCAAGTTCTAAAAAGTAGGCAAGCAGTCCAAAAATTGGTACAAGCGTCGCTGGCCTCTCGCTTTCCTTATTTCTGCTCCTGTGGCTTCCACAGGTGTACAAGTCAGCACTTTACTTGGACCTCTGCTCCATCTTTCTTCCTTGACCCTTCAGCCTGTGCATGGGCTGCTTCCTCTCATGGGGCAGAGGTTTCCAAGAAGGTGGCATTAAGGCCAAGAGCTCAAAACAGTTTTTTAATTTTGTTGTCCTAGGTTATTAAACCCAGTGGTAAATTCTCAGGCTTCTCCTTCCTTGACCTCCTAGATACTTCTTGAAACAATTCCTTCCCTTGCAGCTCTGAAATAAATGGCTACTCTTTTCAGTCTCCATTGCTAGGTTTTCCTGAACTCACTTGCCTTGAGGCTAGTCCTTTGTTCCCTTCTCTATTTATATCTGCTCCCTATTTATAGTCTCCTGGCTTTAAGCTAATCTATATGCTGAGGAATCTCAAATGAATACCTCCAGCCATGACCTCCCCCCCTACATTCTGGACAAACATGTCCTGCTGTCTAGAGAATATCACCACTTATTGTGTCTAAAGCCTCTAATCTTCTCCACAACAGGTGTCCATCTCCTCTTCCTTCCTACACATCTCAAAAATGGCAACTCCATTCTTGAAAATCCTCAGTCTTACACCTTAAAGTAATTATTGACCACTCTCTCTCACACTCAGTAATAAAGTCAATCTATCAGTAAGTATCTTGACACTTCATTGAAAATATATCCATGATTGGACCAGTTCTCATGGTCCCAGCCACCAACCACTGTCAAATTAGTAGCCTCCCAACTGGTTTCCCTGCTTCTTTTCTTTTTTTTCCCCTTCCTTTCTAGCTTAATTCTAGAGTCTTGACTTGGGTACCTAGCTTCAAAGCCAAAGAGTGGATTGGTTCCTTCCTCACCATTGTTTCAGAAAAGGTAAAGAATATGAATGAATTCTGTGGATGGTGTGGAAAGCATGTTCAACAGATGATGTTAAACAGAGGAGAAATTCATTCTGTTTGCCATCAGTTGTAATAATTAGTTATAAAGTCAAGGAAAGAATCCCATAGGGCCCCTTGAAAAGGTAATCATGGCGTACAGAGAAGAATGTCATAGTTTTTGTTTTGTTTTGTTTTAAGGAAGAATTGCCTTCTATTGATACGTCATTTTCAAATTACTGATACAAACTTGTCAGAGAATAATTACGTATTTTGCCCAACATCAATCTGCAAAAAGTTTCCAAACATAAGTGCATTTCTTGTTCAATTTCCAAAAATAAATAAAGGCTTTCTATCTGAAAGCGTTTTCATTCCTAGCTCTCTAAAGTAAACATTGAGAAACAAAGTACAAAAAATGATCTGCCGGCCTCTGAAGAGTCCACTCAGTTACATGAAGTGTTTTTTTTTTTTGCAACACTTTTTCAGATTCAAAAGGTATTTACATCCTAGAAACTTGAGGATCTTATTTCAAACCCTTCAGTCCGTTTCCATGGCAACACTACAGTACTCCTTGGTTACCAGAAGTCGCATTAGTTGACTGTGGAATTTCTCGATCTTCTTTACACTAGGGCTTGGTCTGTTCTTTGCACCAAACTAAATCACTTGTTACTTTAATACACGAAGTCCCATCAGAATGCCAGTTTGTGAGAACCACATGTGCCTTCATAGGACTGGCGAGGTCCTTTCTCAGCCGCGCTGCTGAACATCTCCCAGGTCTAATAATTTGGCATCCTGCTCCTGCTGTCGAGCTCCAGAGGAGGTGAGGTCAGGCCCGCATGCTGCGCCCCCTGGCCCACCTCCAAAGTCATAGCTTTTTAAAACTCAGCAATCACTGGCATGCAGGTGAACAGAACCAGGGAGAGGCAGAAGTGACACTAGCCTAGATGAGGAATTTCTCAGCATGTCACAACCCTACAGGAGGAAGTCACCTGAGCTCCAAAGTACATTTAGGGAGACATCAAGATCTTCTGCCCCTTACCCCAAGGAAACTGGCAGTTATTCAAGGAAAACAACAGTAAAATGGCCTGGAGTTGCAACAGTGCAGAACCTTCTAGTATGTCCTAACCCAGATGCATAAGCCAGATAGAAATGCAAAAAAGCAGTTTCTAGCAGAAAGTGTAGAGCAGTTAAATTCCTGGGGAATTCAAGGCAAAGACCACTTGATACCTTAAAGGAAACTAAGAATAAACAACTGTTCTGACCCAGAGAGAAGCCAGAATCTCAATGCCTTGTTGGCTTGTTTGGATTTTTTAAGTGACTTT